TTCATATGTTTTCCACCACTCATCCCCAGCATCCAAGCAACACTAGTTCTTTACCCTGGGCCAGCGGTTCCCATCCATCCTTTGTTTTTTTGTTTTTTTTTTAAGAGATTTATTTTTATTTATTTATACAAGCACTGGGTACAATCAGAAGCGCGGGAGGGTGAGAGAATTCACCAGAGCCAGAGCGGGGAGCAGAGCAGGCAGAAGGACCGAAGTACACTGCTGAGGGGAGCAGCGGGCGACAGGAGAGGTCTGCGCACCATGTGGGACCCTCCTCCGGGGGCCGGGGAGCAGCCAGGGATCGAACTGGTGCTGCAGAGGCTGTGGGCAGCTTTGAAACCCAGCGCTCAACCGCTGCGCCACGGGGGAGGCCCCCTCCTTTGTTTTTTACCCCCTGCTGTCTGTCTCCCCCTAGTAGTGGCAATTCTGCCATCAGGTTTCTATGGTTTAATTTGATTTAGTTTTGCCAATTCCTTTATTTTTCTCTATATTTCACATATGTGTGAAATCATGGATTTTTTGTTTTTCTCTTTCTGACATTTCATTAGCCTAATACACTCCAGTTCCATGCATGTTGCTTCAAATGGCAGGAGTTTGTCTTTATTTTTTTTTTTTCAAACTCAGTTGTATTCCATTGTGTATATACACTACATCTTCTTAATCCAGTCCTCTTTCCTGGGGCTTTTAGATGGCTTCCATACTTGACTGTTGTAATTACCACTGCAGTGAACATAAGAGTCTATATATCCCTCTGAATTTGTAATTTTATATTATTTGGTCAGGCACTTAGGAGTGGAATTTCTGGATCATGAAGTGTATCTATTTTTAATGTTTTGAAGAACCCCTGTTTACCCTTTTCTAGAGGAGCTAGACTAGTCTACACTGCCACCAAGAGTGTAAGAGGTTCCTTTTCTTGATATCATGGCTAAAATTTGTTGTTTCTGATTTATTTTTTTAATGGTCATTCTCATTATTTTTTTTTATCTCATTGGTCTCATTCTCAAATGGCCTCACTGTGGTCTTGATTTGCACTCTCAGATGATAGTATAATCATTCAGTAGTAAAATGAATAGTGGATTATTTACACAGTGGTAAAAAAATATACTGTTACAAGTGAAGTAGTTCTATATTTATTTTCTTAGATGACTCTTAAAAATAAAATGTGGATGCAAAAAAATCAGAGTAAGTACACACTATATGACACTGAGAAATCTCAAAATACAAGCACAATATAATATATTGTTTTGTGATATATGAGTCTAAAATTTAAAGAGAGATCAGTGGAACATTCCAAACATGTTTGTTACTTCACAAAAAGAAGGCACAAGTTTGCACTTTTACTTCTGTCTATAACATTGGGAAAAAGAGGCAAAGAGAAAGGAGAGAGCAGGAGGACGGGATACCTGTAGAAAACACAGAAAAAGTAAATATTGATTTTTCTCATTTTAGGGGGGTAAAAGTATCTGACAGATACATTTATGTACTTTTCTATGCATTGTTTATTTAATAAGTATTTTTAAAAGTTTTAAAAATTGATAGTCATAACCATCGATTTTAATAGTTCAGCCAGTACATGGAGACTAGAACCATATTACCCAAAACTTTTTTTTTATAATAAATTTTATTTTTATATTCCCCATACAATTGCAACCCCCTTATTTTGACCCCAATCCCTCCCCTCCCCCCAACCCCCATAGAGTGTCTCTGGTTCATAGTTGTTTGTTGATTTTGATTTTCACTTTCTTATAGTTATTCATTTTCCTGGTCCCTTATTTAAGTTTTCTAGATTCCTGCTATGAGTGAGACCATCCGGTATTTTTCTTTTTCTTTCTGGCTTATTTCGCTGAGCATGATCCCTTCCAGCGCCATCCATGTTGCTGCAAATTGCATGTGTTTATCTTTTTTGAATGCTGAGTAATATTCCATGTATATTACCCAAAACTTTTATAAGAGTAGTACCAACAGGTGACAGAATGCCAAAAAATTTTCATTAGAAAAAATTTTACTATTTTTTTTAAGTTAAATGGTGTTTAACTTGATACTAACAAGCCAGAGACTTCCTCCTACAGCCCACAAAGTACACTTTTTCAATATGCCCTCCTCCCCCCTCACATATGCCAAAGTGAAAAAAATGAAATAGTTTGCTTAACAATGGGAAATATGACCACAAGATGTCAGTAAATGTTAGAATTAATTAAAAAATTCAGTAGAGTTGCACCATAAAAATTGATATACAAAAATGAGTTGAGTTCCTAGATACTAATAATGGACAATTAGAAAGAAAAATTAAGAAAATAATCCCATTTACAATTGCATCAGAAAAAATAAAATACCTAGAAATAAATTTAATCAATGAGGTGAAACATTTGAAAGACTCTGAAACCATAAGACATTGGTGAAATATTTGTGCTTTTTTTTTAAAGATTTATTTATTTACTTATATAAGAACGGGGGTACAGGCCAGATGTGCGGAGGGTTAGAGGATTCACCAGAGAAAGAGCGGGGAACAGAACAGGCAGGCTAACGAAATACAGTGCTGAGGGGAGCAGCGGGTGTGACAGGAGAGGTCTGCTGTGCCATGTGGCACCCTCGCCGGCCGGCCGCTGCAAAGGCTGCGGACAGCTTCACAGCGCGGCGCTCAACCGCCTGCACCACCAGGGGAGGCCCATTGGTGAAATATTTGAAGACACATATAAAAACACAGAAGATATCCTGAGTTCATGGAAGAATTAATATTGTTAAAATGTTTATAATACTCAATGTGATCTTCAGATCCAATAAAAACCCTATCAAGGGCCTCCCCGGTGGCGCAGCGGTTGAGCGCTGGGTTTCGAAGCCGCCTGCAGCCTCTGCAGCGCCGGTTCAAACCCCGGCTGCTCCCCGGCCACAGGAGGAGGGTCCCGCATGGCGCGCAGACCTCTCCTGCCGCCCGCTGCTCCCCTCAGCAGTGTACTTTGGTCCTTCTACCTGCTCTGCTCCCCGCTCTGGCTCTGGTGAATTCTCTCACCCTCCTTTGCTTCTGACTGTACCCAGTGCTTGTATAAATAAACAAACAAACAAACAAATAAATAAATCTTTAAAAAAAAAAACCTATCAAAATTCCAAAGGCATTTTTCACAGGCATAGAGCAAACAATCCTAAAATTTATATGGAAAAAAAGAACATTTCATAATCAAAGATATAGAGAATGAAGAACAAAGTTGGAGGCACCATTCTCCATGATATCAAAATACATTACAAGTCTATAGGAATCAAAACAATATGATATTTTCATAAATCAAGCAGATATATCAATGCAATAGAATAGAGAGTTGGGAAATAAATCCACACAAATATAGCTAGTTAGCTTATGATATAAAAATCAACAGTATCCAACTGGGAGTTAACCTTTTTAGTAAAGAATGCTGGGAAAACTGGCCTTCCACATGCAAAAAAAGAAACTAGACTGCTTTCCTAATGCAAAAAAATGTAGTTGGAATGGATTAAAGACTTGAACAAAAGCACCCATTTGAATCCATAAAATGCCTGAAGAACAAATAGAGGGTAAGATCTTTTAACACTGGTCTGACAATGATTTTTTGGGGATTTGACACCAAAAGCAATGCAACCAAATCAAAAGTAAAACGTGGGGCAAAGTCAAATTAAAAAGTTTCTGTATAACAAAGAAAGCCATTAACACACATTAATATAAAATTGCCATGTATACAGCAATTACACTGTAGGTATATATCAAAGGAAACAATTAATATCTCCAAAAGAATTCTGTACTCCATGTCATCGAAGCTTTGTTTATAATTTTTTAGACACAGAAAAAAAAAATCCTAAGTGTCTATTAATGGAAAATGTATAAATCAGACAGGATAAATCAAGCACACACACACACACAAGGAATATTCAGCTATAAAAGTGAATCCTGCTATTTGTGACAGCATGAATGATCACAAAGGCATTAAGCTAAGTACAGCAGTCAAATAAGAAAGACAAATGCTGTGTGTTCTCAAATATATTCTTATCATACTAATGGACACAAAAAATTTGTGGTTGCTAGAGGTGAGGGGTGAGTATAGTTGAAAAGGGTAAAGGTGTGCAAAAGGTAAAAACTTCCAATTTTAAATCCTGGGATGTAATGTATACCATATTTATTTATGAGAGCTTTATAAAAATGCACATGTAAGAAATTTGGCATAGTATATAGATCTGTAGCAGCTTTCTTCAGGCTGAAACATGCAGGGTTAAAATAGAGTATAGCCCAAGTTAGAATGTATGGTCAGTGCAAGAGGATAGCTATTATCAAGGCTATACATGCAATCTGTTAGTGTAACAACAGTACTGAGCACACTGTCCTCTTGACAGTCTAACAAATAAAATTCAGCATCAGATATCAAAATGTAATATTTTATTTCAGTTATAATTTCATAAACACATAAAGAGCTAAATAGCTATTGAAAGTCAGAAGGACTGATCTTTTGTCATCTGATTTTTGAATCTGAAGCTCCTTCATTTATTGTAATACTTAAGCAGAGTCCTAGAAACTCAGGAAGGAAGAAGAAAGACATATATTAATTATTTACAGTAGGAAAGCCTTTGCTGAGAAAGCCAAAGATCTGCGAATTTTTGAAAAACTTCATTAGGTTCTGGATGGAGAAAATGATTGCAAGGTAAATGAATGACAATTATTAGATACAAGGAGGAGAAATCCATAATGCATTCTATTTTCAGTATTGTCAACAGAATCAATATTAAATTCCCCTTTAGCTCACACATGAAATATGATTTCTTTTTTAATGCCCCCTTTCTTCTACTGGCTCACTCAATTACCAGGCAAAGAGAAGTAAAGAAAATCAAACTTTGGGGTGGGCAACAAAACTTAAGATATGCTATTTCCTGTGTGGGGAGCAGCATCACCCCCAGGAACTACATAAACGCTCTTCCAGGCTCTCAGACACTGAGCTTCCTGCTGGAGGCACAACTGCACACACATGTCAGGGCACACACGCCCCATGGCCCCCTCCGGCCTGCTGTGGGCCCTGGTGGCCTTCACCTGCTCTGGTAGGCCCAGGGCCAGGTGGGGGTGGGGAGGATGGAAGGACAGCACCTGGCACAGGGTGCTTGGCATGAATGGGAAGGAAGTAAGACTGGAGAAAAGCAAATGTGACCATTTCAATGTGATTTATCTTTGGACATAAAATTGGGCTAACTCTTAAAATACTTTATTCACTGCATAACCTATGTTTTCTGCTTTTCCCCACAGGCTCCAGTGTGGCTCAAATAGTTGTTCAACACCAGCCAGTTACAGCTGAGCAAGAGGGGTCAGCAGTTGCCCTGAAGTGTCAGTATGGAAAAAGTTTCAGTTACTACACTGTTTACTGGTACAAGCAGCTTCCTGATGGAAAGATGATGCTCCTTATTTCTCAATATTCCTCTAACAACAATGCAGTAGAGGGACGCTATTCTATAAACATACAGAAAGCAAACAAATCCATCTATCTCACCATTAAAGCGTTACAACTGGAAGATTCAGCAAAGTATTTCTGTGCTCTCAGTGATGCACTGTGTTTGAGGTGATAGTAAAAGCTAAACAAAAACCCCAGAGCTCAGGAAGGGTAGACCTCTGCTCAGCAACCAACCTGAAATCACACCCGTGCCTTCCAGACAGACAATGGTGGCAACTGTGGTTGTTTGTTCTGTGTTCTGGAACAGGGGGTGACTTCTGAGTAAAACCTCCTTTTATGTTGTTTAGAAACAGTTGTCCAGAGTAGCTTTCTTCTAATATATTCTCAGCCCTACCTTTTTCACTTAAAGTCAATCCTACAGAACATGTGTATAGAGCCTAATATTGGGAAACTGCCCATACTATTTCATGTGCCAGTTCACTTAAAGATGCTCACACCACAAGCTAAGTCTAGTCATCTGGACCATCATGAGAATCATTTCCTTAGCCCTTTCCTCTTAGACTTTGTGTAAATTAAGATATAGTCAGAGAAGCAGGACCAGTATAACTGATGAAGGATAAGAGATTAATTACAATATTATAACTCATGCTGTTGGTAGAAATGGTAGAAGAATCTGTGCAAAGCTGCATGTTTGCATTGACTACAGAGGTTGAATTTGTTTTAAATCAGTTGCATTAACATTTGTAAAGAAACTTGGATGTGGAGAAAAGTGTGGACAAACTGAGCTGCTTCCAGACAGTAAAACTGCAACTTGTCTCTCTCACCTCCTCAGACTCATGGGGTGGGCACCTTTAGGAGGTTTGGTTAGCACTTGCACCATGCTACATGCAGACCTGGTCAAAGACAGAGAGAGGCTGAGAGAGGAGACCTGGTGGGGGCAGGGTTGTGGGTCAGCAATATGATGAGGGGCAGAGCAGGAGCAGCACGTGTGAGTTGCTACAGTGCCACAGTGCCTGGAGCCTGTACCAGCCTGCAGAAGACAAAAACATGGTTGCTGTGTCACCGCTACCCCCCAGATCTTGCACAAATCTGTGTGGTCAACCCAAACCTAACATAGTACAAGGAAGCAAATACTGGGAACTGTATACCCAGAAAATTAAGTTGAGACAATACCAAGTTACCTCAGTGCCCCACCGAAAACAAGCTAACCCTCCCCTCAAAAAGATGAAATTTATTTGTCTTTTTTTTTTTTAAGATTTATTTATTTATTTATACAAGCACTGGGTACAGCCAGAAGTGCGGGAGGGCGAAGGAATTCACCAGAGTCAGAGCGGAGAACAGAGCAGGCAGACTGACGAAGTACACAGCTGGGGATTGAACTGGCGCTGCAGAGGCTGCGGGCAGCTTCGCAATCCAGTGCTCAACCGCTGAGCCACCTGGGAGGCCCATTATTTATCTGTCTTTAGGTAAAGTTCTTAGCTCTTCTTGCTCTATCACAACGTCAATTGATATCTGCATTTTAACATTTTGTTGACTTTATGATTAAGCAAAATAATTATATGTGTGATTAACTTTAATTACCAAATCTTAAGATACTGCTTATAAGCAGATGGAGAAAGGGAGGAAAAATGATTAATAAACTATAAAATATATTTATACAAAAAAGAGTTTCCTAAATATTTCTGCATGTGGTCATGTGGTCATATCTGACCTTTACAACTACCTATTCCATACCCCTTAGTAGAATCCAGTGCCCATAAAAGCACCTCCACTCGTTGCTATGCATGATTTTATGGATAACAAGCTCTTATTCAGAAACAATGCTACATGGAATGCTATAAATAAGGAATTCTGCAAATCCATCCTTGTGGTTTTGGAAAAGTATTGCAGGCATAAAGGCAAATACATAATCTAGTGTGCATTTAGCTGGGAGTAATCTTTTTAATATCAGGGAATATTGATATATTGTGTTTTGGGAAACATAATCAAGAATGACGCTTGTCTTTTCATTAGCAGTAATATAAGTTACCAAGGAAACCCCTTATAAAATGGTACAGCATATAAAATTTTCAAATTTCATGTTCCATGAACATGAAAGTGTAACTTTTAATCTTTGTTAAAAGTCACTGCTTAGAAATCGGAAAGTCAATGAATAGACTGTTAAAATTATGTCTGCAATGGAATTTCTGAAAAAGGACTAAATGCAGAATATGTAGAAAGTTCATATAGATCAGTCAAAGTTCGGGGTAGACCAGACTCTTCTCATCTGTCCATAACCAGGAGGGCAATACTACATGAGAAACCCTATTTCCTGTGTGGGGAGCAGCATCATCCCCACCACAGGAACTACATAAACGCCCTTCCAGGCTCTCAGAGACACTGATCTCTCAGCTCGGGGCACAACTGCACACACGCGTCGAGGCACAACTGCACACACATGACAGGGCACACACACTCCATGGTGCCCTCCAGCCTGCTGTGGGCCCTGGTGGCCTTCACCTGCTCTGGTAGGCCCAGGGCCAGGCGGTGGCAGGTGGGGAGGATGGAAGGACAGCACCGGGCACAGGGTGCTTGGTGTGGGTGAGGGGGAAGGAGGACTGGGAAAAAGCAGGCGTGTGATGATTTCTATAGTTTATCTCTGAACACAAAATTATTCTAATTCAATATTTTATTCACTGCATCAGCTCTGTTTTCTTAATTTCCCCACAGGATCCAGTGTGGCCCAGAAAGTGATCCAAGACCAGCCAGTCATAGCCAAGCAAGAGGGGTCAACAGTCACCCTCAACTGTCGGTATGAAACAAGTTGGACTGACTACTATCTTTACTGGTATAAGCAGCTTCCTGATGGAAAGATCAATTACCTTATTCATCAGTCTCTTTCTTCTGCCTATAATGCAGAAAAGGGTCGCTATTCTATAAACTTCAAGAGAGCACACAAATTCATCTCCATAACCATTAAATCCTTACAACTAGATGATTCAGCAAAGTACTTCTGTGCTCTCCGGGAACGCACTGCGTTTGAAGTGATAGTAAAAGCTGAACAAAAACCCAGACCTCAAGAAAAGCAAGCGCCCAGCTCAGCTCAGGAGCCACACTAAGTCATACCTGCGTATCCCAGTCAGGCAGTGGCAGTGACTGTGGTTACTTCATAAGCAAGAATAAATTCTGAGAAAAACCTCCTTCTGTGTCATTTAGAAACAGGTGTCCAGAATAACTGTCTCCTGAGTTACTAATTCTAAGTTATGAATTTTTGACTTAAAATCATCATACAGAACACATACATATTATCGAATGTTGAAAAAACTTTCCCATAAAATATCAAAGCCAGTGGTACAGTAAAGATGGTCACATCAAAAACTGGATCTAGTCATCCGCGACACTAAGGATGATCATTTCCTTAAACTTTTTCTGCTAGGCTTTGTGTCATCTAAAGTATAATCAGAGCACCATGAGTGATGTAAAATAAAAGATTAATCACAAGGACCAGCCCTCATCCAATTGCTGGAATAGGTGGAGGAATCGCTAAAAAACGGTTGTATTTGAATTGGCTATAGAGCCTGAATTGGCTATAAAATAGTTTAGGGTTCTATTTGGGATGGAAATTTGCATATGTACACATGCATACACACACTCACCTGTGAGTATATGTTAGAGCCCATGAGGTGTCATTCAAACCCAATAACACAAATAAAATTCTTCTGTCTCTTGCCAGCTCAATCTCATGTAGTGGGTAACATTTTGTATCATGTTAAATGCTGATTTGGCCTAAAGCAATTAGAAGCTGAGAGAGGAGACCTGGTTTGAGGTGGGGGCGGGGCTGTGAGTCTGCAATAAGCTGAGGGGCAGAGCAGGAGAAGCACGTGTGAGTTGCCACCATGCCTGGAGCCTGCACCAACCTGCAGAAGACAAAACATGGCTGCTGTGTCACAGCTGCCCTCCAGATCTTGCACAGACATCTTTGGGATCAACCTTAACCCAACATACAAGGACATAAATTCTGGGAATATATTTCCAGAAAGTGAAGTTGAGACAATACAAAGTTGAGACAATACAAAGTTAAGACAGTGCCCTGCTTAAACAAGCTAATCCTTCCCCACAGAGAGGACAAAGAGCATTTATCCATCCTTGGGCAAAGTTCTTACTCCTTGCTGAGTCACATTGTCCCAGGACATCATGTGGTGTAAAACTACTTTTGTTAGGGGGAAAGGATGTCCTGTGCAAGCTCCATGCAGGCTTTGTGGACTCCACCCTCACTCCAACAAGACACTGAATATCAGGGTTGCCCTGTAACACTTTAACTTTATGATTACCATTATAACTAACCAATAAGTTGAACTTTAATTAGCACATATTATGCTAATTAAATCATCCCATGCTTAGGGCAAACAGAAAGTGGAGTAAAAATGGTTAATATACATAGAAATATATATCAAGATACAAAAGAATTTCATAATTATTTCTTCAAATCGTCATGTGATTGTAGCTGATAATTATAACTACCTCTTCCAATATCTGGTTTTTAATTTTTTCCTCACAGATAAGAGTGACTGACTTGAAATGCTAAGTAATAAATCTCCTCCAAATCTTCCTTTAATATCAAATTTTATGGTTACATTTTAAAATCAGATATAATCACTTATCCGTCAGTCACAAACAAAGGGAAAACATTTGCTAGAAGGCCAACTCTCCCAACGGGTGGTCATGCCTGTTCAAATATGGCCCAGAAACCACAAGCACAGGCAGCGCCGTCGGAGCCTCGGGATGTTGCAGCTGCGCTCTCAGGGCACAGGGCAGGGCCATAGGCACGGCCTTCATAGGCTGCCTTCATTCCACAGACCCCCTCACCCCCCGCCACACTGCTGTGGGCATTGATGTCTCCTCAGCTCAGTTACAAAAATTGCAAATCAAGAACCAACTGCCTGTTGCACTCAGAGGAGAAATGGACCAGGGTGGGTGTCTCAGCTAACTAGAAATCTCTACCTGTACCACCAGCCATGAGTCATTGGGACCTGCGCCAAAGAATGGTCAGTTTCAAAGACCCTCTCTCTACTTTCTTTTCCAGCTGTCTATTTGCCTTTTAGCCCTTTAACAGTAATTCAACCACTGAAAAAAATGAAAATAATGGAAGATTGATAGATACATAGCACATGATCATGTGACAGTGTGCAAGACTTCAGCGGTAACATCTGGGGGTTGACATGTCCTTAGTGGGCATCTTACAGACGTCATATCCTGTAGGAGTGCAGTATCAATAGCATGGTGTCTGGCGAGATCACATGCTTAACTTGGTTTATTTTACATATTAAGAAAGATTCTAGGACAGAATTTAAGGAGTGAGACTGAGAACTTTGAACTGATGGGGGAAAAATGTGACATGAAGGCCATTCTAGGACATGTGACCAACTGAGAGTGATCTACTTGTGTAGCAATGCATTGAGACCCTGACCCTCCTCAAAATCTAATAAAATTCAGTCAGATCTCAAAGATTGTTATTCTTGTTATAATTTCATACATACATAAAGAACTGAATAGCTTTTGAAAGTCAGAAGACTGTTCTTTTGTCATTTGATTTTGAAGCAGATTAAATTATTGTAAACCTTAAGCAGAACCCTAGAACCCTGTGCGGAAGAAAAAAGAGATGCACTATTGTTTTGAGTGGGATAGTCTTCACTGAGAAAGCCATAGATCTGTGAATTTTTTAAACTCCCTTAGATCCTGGATGAAGAAATATGAGTGCAAGGTGAATGAATGAACTTTAATCGACACAAGGGAGCAAAATCCAGTTTATTTTCAACGAGTTCCCAAAATTATACCACTGAAAATTATGGAAGCATGACAGCTGATTTAATTTTAATTTCTCTTCAGCTCAAACCTGTAATACCAATTGTTTTCTCCACACCCCTTTCACATATTGCCTTATTTACTGATCAATGAAAGAAAATTAAGCAAAGTCAAAGTCTGAGGTAAGTCAGACTCTTTCCTCATCTGTGCATAATCAGGTGGGCAATGCAACATGAGATACCCAATTTCCTGTGTGGGGAGCAGAATCACCCCCCAGGAACTACATAAACACCCTTCCAGGCTCTCAGAGACACTGAGCTCCCCGCTGGAGGCACAACTGCACACACGTGTCAGGGCACATACGTCCCATGGCGCCCTCCAGCCTGCTGTGGACCCTGGTGGCCTTCACCTGCTCTGGTAGGCCCGGGGCCAGGCGGAGGTGGGAGAATGGAAGGACAGCACCGGGCACAGGGTTCTAGGCATGGAGGAGGGGGCAGGAGGACTGGGGAAAAGCCAGCATGGGATGATTTGAATGTGGCTTATTTTTGTACAAGATTAATCTAAATCTATAATATTTTATTCACTGCATCTGCTCTGTTTTCTGTTTTTCCCTACAGGATCCAGTATTGCCCAGCGAGTTATTCAAGACCAGCCATCTGCAGCCACACAGGAAGGGCTGGAAGTCACCTTGAAATGTCGATATGAGACAAGTTGGAGTTACTACTATATTCACTGGTACAAGCAGCTTCCTGATGGAAAGATGACTTTCCTTATTTCTCAGTATTCTTCTAACGACAATGCAGTAAATGGTCGCTATTCTATAAACTTCCAGAAAACATTGAAATCCATCTCCCTCAACATTAAATCCTTAGAAGTGGGAGATTCAGCAAAATATTTCTGTGCTATCTGGGAACCCACTGTGTTTGAGGTGATAGTAAAAGCTGAACAAAAACCCCAGAGCTCAATAAAAGCAAGATCCCTGCACAGTAGCCAATCTGAAATCACACCTGCACATCCCAGACAGGGGATGGCAATGACTGTGGTTATTTCTTCTGTGTTCTGGAACAGGGGTTGACTTCTGAGTAAAACCTCCTTCTATGTTGTTTAGAAACAGTTGTCCAGAGTAGCTTTCTTCTAATATATTCTCAGGCTTGACTTTTTCACTTAAAGTCAGCAATACAGAACATGTGTATAGTTGCCTAATGTTGAAAAATCTGCCACATAATGACTTCAAGTGGCAGCTGCACTTAATGATGTTCATAAAACAAGCTGGGCCTAGTCATCTAGAACTATAATGAAAATTATTTCTTTAGTCATTTTCTGGTAGGCTTTATGTCAGTTAAGATGAGTCAGAGAAGTAGAACCAGTATGAGTGATGTAGAATAAGATTTCCTTATTCTAAATGCAAAGCTGCTGTGTTTGCATTGGCTACAAAGGTTGACTTTGTTATAAATCAGTTGGATTAATATTTGTAAGGGATCTTGGATGTGGACCAAACTTTGGACAAACTGATGTATTGTCCTTATGCTAGAACCCATGAAGACAGCTGGAACCCAGACAATCAAGCCACTGCTTATTTATTCTCACCCCCTCAATCTCATGGGGTGATTCCTTCAGGGGAAGTGGGTATCACTCTCATCCTGCTACATGCAGACCTGGCCCAAGACAGAGAGAGGCTGAGAGAGGAGACCTGGTGGGGGGGAGGGGCTGTGGGTCAGCAATAAGATGAGGGGCAGAGCAGGAGCAGGAAGTGTGAGTTGCCACCGTGCCTGGAGCTTGCACCAGCCTGTAGAAGACAAAACATGGCTGCTGTGTCACAGCTGCCCTCCGGATCTGGCACAAACCTCTGTGTGGCCAACCCTACCCTAAAAAATACAAGAAAACAAATTCTGGAGCTATATTCCCAGAAAGTTAAGTTGAAACAATATGAAGTTACCTCAGTGCCGTACCAAAAAAAAGCTAACCCTCCCCTTAAAGGAGGATGTTTATTTAATCATCTTTGGGTAAATTTCTTAGCTCTTCTTGCTCATTCACAATGTCCAATTAATATTTGTAGTTTAACACCGTGTTGACTGACCTTGTGATTAAGCGAAATAATTAACAAATAAGATTAACTAATAAGTAAATCTTAAGATGCTGCTTATATGCAGAGGAGAAAATGGAGGGAAAATGATTAATATACATATGAATATATTCATATAAAATTTTCCTAATTATTTCTGCAAATTGTCATGTGGTGTATCTGGTCTTTATAACTGCTTCTTTTATAACCCTTAGTTATTCATGCCCATTGCATGCACTTCCACTCACTGCTACA